GGGTGGCCAGGGGGCAGCCATGGGGTTAAGTGCAGCCCATTGCAGGTTGGCCATGGTGGCCCCAGGGCGCGTGGCACTGGGGGTGCCAGTGGGGGTCCTGCTCCAGGCCACGGAGCCGGTGGCCGGGATGCTGGTGGCCCGAGCCCAGGGGGCTGCTGAGGAGGTCGAGTCCTGCTCTGCCGAGGTGCCCTTTGCCCTTACGCCCCACAATGACTTCAGCCAACTCCTGCACCTCAAGGTGGGCCTGGCGTGGGGACATGGGGACATAGGGGATATGGGGACATCGGGGACACAGGACATGGGGCACAGGGGACATGGGGGGTCACAGAGACACAGGACACAGGACGTGGGATGGGACATGGAGACATGGGACACGGGGACAAGACACAGGGACAGGAGGCACAGGAGACACAAGGGACACAAGGACATAGGGGACATGGGGGACATGAGACAGAGGGACATGAGGACACAGAGGACATGACACAGAGTCACAGGACACAGGGGACACAGGGAAATGGGGACATGGGGACATGCAGCATGAGGACATGGGGGACGTGGAGGGACATGGGGGAAGGGAGGACACAGGACACAGGGACATGGGGGATGTGGGACATGGGGCACAGAGGACTTGAGAGACACGGGACACAGAGCCACAGGGGCAGCCACATTGGGTGAAAGGACATGGGACATTTCCAGGGGTATGAATGGGTGAGACATGGGGGACATGGGGATATCCCCATGGCATGAGAGGACACAGGGACATCATCATGGTGTGGGCACACATGAGGACATCCCCATGGGGTGAGGGTGCATGGGGACATCCCCATGGGGTAGGGGAACAGGGGACATCTCCATGGGCACAAGGATGGGAGGGATGTGGGGGATTTGGGAATGTCTCCATGGGGTGAGGACCATGGAGACATCCTCATGGGGTACAACGAAACGAGGATGTCCCCATGGGGTGGAGGACCATGGGGACATCCCCATGGGGTACAAGGACGTGAGGATGTTCCCACAGAGCAAGGGGACATCATGTCCCCATGTCACTCGTGTCCCTCCGTGTCCCTGTGTGTCCCCACAGGTGTCCCCAGAGCAGGCGGCACGCTGTGGGCTGGTGGCCAAGGAGGGGGGCCGGGCACTGCTGCTCGAGGCCCGGAGCCCCCAGTTGCCCCCCACCGGGAGCCAGCACCTGCGGGTGACCTGGGGGGGTCCCCGGGGCCACCTCTTCGTGCAGACCGACAAACCTATCTACGCCCCCCGGCAGACCGGTGAGCCCCAATGCAGCCC